AGTCAATTGTATTTCACCATGAACAACTCAAATTGTGACTGTATACAAGACATAATTCAGTGTTTAACTGTCTGGAGGGAAGAGAAAAACTTCCACTTTCTTGAAAGGCATCATGGAGCCGACTAATTACAAACGGTGGGGCCCAGATAGTAAACAAACCTTCATGCCGTTCTGTCAACATTCTGTGATTAAAGGAGGATCTTCCATCAGCAGAAAACAAACTCCGGATGAAAAAGAAAGCCAAATCATTACGGATTCAACAATGGCAAACATGCCAAGAATGGCTTTCTACAAGTAATAGGGCCTTTTAACGGAATTGTCCGTCTGCTGTGGGGAAAAAACTAAAAAGTCTTTTAGGTGTTTGCCACCCAAAAATACATTTAGTCCAACAATCCAGGACATTGTTTGGGCAAATGTGGTAAAGCTCATGTACGGAAGAGCCTGGGGGTGAAGAATCCACAGGCCCTGAGCTCTGACTGCATGGGCCCCCTGGGCGGGAGAGGCCCACGTGTCATGCTGACGAGGTCTCTGTTCTTTTCTTAATCTTAAGAGCAAAGGACCTCAACTCCCATCCCTGGATATTTTACCAGTATTGTGTTCAAGATACAGCCTTAGGACGCGTCTCACCTTCGTGTAAGATGCTATTTGCCCGCATTGCCCTTCTAAATGTCTTTTTTCTACCAGTATGCTCCAGTTTTTATTATTTCCTATGTACTGGTTTCCCATGAATTTGTACATCAGAGAATCTTCTTTAGTGTTCACAAGAAGTGAGACTGGAATGTCATGGTTTCCGACTCTCTCAATTATTCAGGGAAAATGAACACAAAATTAATTATGAAAAGACTCTGAATTACTTAGCATCCTTTATTTTATCTCATCTTCTTTCATAATTAAGAAAAAGCCAGGTTTCTACAACCCTCACAAAGAATTCCTCAGAGCTATAATTTTCTCAGCCCAGTTTAGATTTTTCTCGAATGAAGCTACGTCAGATCATGGCCGCCTCTACCCAACACCCACCAAGCGAAAAGCTGGCAGTGGTCTGAGGAATGTTAGTGGCTATGAGGATAGTTCTGACCACAGGCCCCACCCTGGCCTCAGCAAATGATTATTAGCTGTCAGCCACAGCTGTGAAATAAAACCAACCAATGCTAGAAATCTTGGCATTTCTGGGGTGCATTAGGGCAACCTCTGAAGAACTGCCAATTTGGCTAATAATGGCTATCCAACTGCCAAATTTCTAATGAGGCACGGCTTAAATGTACACATTTTTTTAAAAATCTTATTTTGATTATTTTGCTGATGAGTTCACATGATCACTTTAGCCTATGAAAGAAAAAAAGAAAATACGGAGAATGCCAAACAATCAAGAAAAACTGCACGGTGTGGATCTCATGAAACTCTAGAAAACTTGCTGCAGTTGTGCAGAACGACTTCAGCTATGTTTCCTGTGGCAAAACCACCTTGTTGAGCCCACGGCCGACCCACTTGGTGGGAGGAAAGACATTAGCATTCTTGAAAACCGGAAGCCT